TAACAAAAAAAAACCCCTCTTCATATGAATGTAACCAGAGTTTTAGGGCAAACTAGGGCTTGTCCACAGTTCCTATAAACGGAGGACAGTCAATCAATGTGGCCACAGTGGAAAGAACAGATAAAGGGGTCCAGTTTTGCCTTCAGGGTACTGTCTTGAGCTCTGGTTTAAACAGGAAGGATTGCAGCAGGAGGCTAGACGTGTGTGCAGTTTCACAGCCTGGTCAAGGTGGGACCTGGTTGATTATTGCCCCAACTCTGGTTTTGCAAGATGACTCTTATCACTGTTATGCTTGAGGGGATCAGTCTGGCTCCTAGAAGGTTACTGTTGCTGCAGGACATGGCCTCACCCTAAAGTGTAATTGCCCTCATCTGGGAGGTGGTCTATTTTCTGAGGCCTTGTTCTTCCTGGATCCAAGGTGACTGCAGGCTCTGGACAGACTTATCTTTGTGCCTTCTGAGCCCAAGGCAGGAGTCAGTACCTTTTAGGCAGCAGCTTCCATGACCTGTTTGTGAGATGCACATGCAGGAAGTACACCAGGCTGGAAATGAGGGCAGGAGGAGGGAGTGAAGAATGACTCGGGTTCGTCACATACAGATTCCAAGAGAAAAGCTGTGGTCTGTGGTCAAGCACTCCAGATTTTTTAACAAGGTCCTGGGTGTTCAAAGGCAGGATAACTATGACCAAGGCAAGCACAGCCTGCTTTGTCCAGACCAAAGGGAAGTGAGCCAGGAAAACAGCCCATCTGAGTCCTGCCACCCTTGGTGTTGTCAGAGCAAAATGTAGAGTCATGCCTGTGCGCTCAGCTCTGTGGAAAGAGCTTATCCACACGACAGAAGTGTCTGTGCCTCGGCCCTCCTCAGAGCTTTATAACAGTTCACTTTTCCTGTTTGTAGCAGGGGTGCCATGCCACTTCTCCCTCCTAGGACATTCACAGGGGATCACAGAAGTCCTGTGTGCTCAGGGTGGGGATACTTTTTCATAGCCCTGCTAGAGACAGAGCTAGAAATGTTTGCTCAGAACCCCACAGTCTGTTTGCTACATCCTGCTCTGGTGTCCTTGAATCCCTTTGTTATTTTTTACTTGTTTACTAATTGATTTTGCAATCATAGCAGCATTGTTTTTTTGTTGTTGTTGTTTTTTTTTTTTTTAAAGGCTGACTTTGGAGCCAGACTATTTAAAATTCTAGCCCTACCATTTGCCTTGGAGAAATTACTAATTTCTTCAAGCTCAGTTTTCTTCTCATAAAATGGGTATTTTGTGCTGTGTTGTCACAGGACCAAATGAAGCAAGGCATGTGCAGATGTCTACAGGGTTAGTGGTAATCGCCAGGGAACCAGTGATCACCAGGGGTTCTTACGCCCCTTTATCTGGTATATTTATGCCCCTTGTAGGAAAAATTCTTTTGGAAGATGAGACTTCAGTTCCATGCCACTCTGTTCCACAGGGGAGATGAAAGTCTTTCCCAGTTTTGTTTAAAATCTTCCTCAGAAAACACTCTAGGACAGTAAGTAATTTTAAGAAAAAGGTCTGGTGAAATTAATGACTTCCAAGAAGCTATGTCCTCAGTGGAGCTGACCCACTCTGACTGATGGGAGGCAGTCCAGCAAAGGGCCCAGCACTTCTGATTTAGGAACTGGATGAGCTGGAATCCTGGCCCCTGCTCTTACTGTGTGATCTGAGGCAAGCCAATTAACCTCTTTGTTTCTCAGTTTTCTATTGTGAGAATAGAATCAGCACCTAGCTCCTTCGGTTGTTTTTTCCACCTACCCAAGATAAGGTCTTTTAAAATTTAAAGGGCTTAATACTACCATAATGTTAATAAGGTCAAGATTAACACAAGTTTAAAGAAATACTTCCTTAGACTAAAATGTTTTCTTGTGATAAGCAGTTCCAGGAACTCTTGTGCTCTTTCCACAGGGCTCCCACTTTGAAAAGAGTAAGCAAATTCTGGCCTTATTCAGGGAGGCTCTTACAGTGACCCTGCTTTTATGCACCAGTCTTTTCTGACATGGTTGGAAGATGCTGCAGTGGTTAGGGTGTTGGGTGACTCTCACACACTCACCTTCAAGGTAATACCTTTATGTATCGTTTACATTTGGATTACAGATGGAAGCTGTTTTCTTTGCCTGCCCTGCACACTGAGATGCATGAATGCTGTTCATCTGAGAGGTTAGCGCAGCATAGCAGAGCAATACTGCCTCTGTTAACCAAGTGCTTGGAGTAGACTAGTATGTGTGGCTAAGTATATAAAAGGGGGCTTGCTCTGGGGAGTGGAAGGAAGCGGGGTGGGCACGGCCTGGAGAGAGGGTGGGGAGGAGAGGAAGAAGATGAAGGACAGGAGCCTGGCATCCCAGCCCCACCAAGCTTACTCTGGTACAACCCCAAACCTTCCCAAGAAGAAAAAAAAAATGATAGGTCTGTGTTTTTAAAGTTGTAGACAGACAAATAAATCTATATATGATTCTTTTTTCCAAGTTTAATTTTGTTGTAAATAGTTGATGACTTTGAGACATATGACAGGTTATAACAAGCCCAGATAGTTTGTTCACTCCTCAGGGTCTGCGACCGTGTGAGGAACTTGCTTCGGACAAGAATGCCTTTTCATCTAGGCTAATAGCAAACAGACTGCTCTGTTGCACATTATACAATATTAGCCACCTGTTTAGGGTTAACTGTGACCTGAAGACCTCATTGTTGCAGAGATGTGTCACAACTTCTGCGAGCAAAGCATCTTGTGTATTTAGAGACTGGTTTCCCACACCATGTGCTGTCATTACTGCTGAAGAGTAGACAAGCTTTCTGCCGCGCATCTTCCAACTTGTATTCGGTCGCCTGTGGATGTGCACAGGTCTCTCCGTGGCAGCCTTGTTTCTGAGTCTCTGGAATCCTCTCTTGGCACTGTGTGTTGACTGCTCAGCGTTCTGTTACTGGGTTCAAGCTCTTCTGTTCATGTCGCTTGTTAGTGTTTTCAGAAGAGTTTTCTTTAAAACTATTAAAAGCCATGATCATGTTGTTGGGTCATTTTTTATTGCTTATAAAACTCAGACTGTCTTCATTTTTAATTGACGTGTTTTAGTTCATGCTGGGGCTTTCCTGATCTTTGCAGAAGTTCTGCCTATGGAATAGTTTCTCCTTTCTGATTTTCTTTTTTTAAAAAAAAGTTAGTGTTACAGGGTCAGGACTCTTGGTGGGCCCAGTGGATGGATCCACCTGAAAGACACTGGGGACACAAATCACATGCTATAGGCCATATTACATATATAAGAGAGTTCGTTGAATTGGGGGGGCATTGGGAGTAGAGGGGAGAGGATCTAAATATCATCAAAATATATTGTATGAAAATCATAAAAATTCAATAAAAATGCAAAAAATTATATATTTGATATTTATGAAATGACATTATATATAGATAGTGATTACTGTAGTAAAGCACATGAACTTATTTTCTCACACAGTTACTTTTTTGCAATAAGGGCAGCAAAACTCTAATAAAAATACTAGGGACTGGAGAGATGTCTCCGATTAAGAGCACTGACTGCTCTTGCAGAGAACCTAGGTTCAAATCCCAGCACCCACATGGCAGCTAATTACCATACATAATTACAGTTCCAGGGGATCACACATCCTCTTATGGCCTCCGAGGGCATTGCATGACATATATGCAGGTATAACACTCATATATATATAAATAAAAATAAATACTAAATATCATAAACTAATAATAAATTTACATTAGCTCTAGACTTGTTCATTCTGCATGTGAGCTGTTTTTGTATTTTTAATCTTGTATCAATCCATCGATCCTCCTCCATTTTTTTTCTGTCATCTCTGTATATTTGGCATTTTTGGTTTTGTTTTAGAATTCTACATATGAGTATCACGCCATATTCATCTGTGTCTGGTTTATTTCACTTAGGAAAGTGTCTTCCACATTTCGAATTGTGGCAAATGTCAGGATCTCAGAAGCAGTTTCTCTTTGGTCCGAAGTAGACTTTATCCTTTATTTCATTTTTGAATAATTGAGTTATTTCAGCTTAAAGTGTATATATTAGGATAGCCCTGCATAGAGCGCCACCTTTTTAGCCTATTAGAATATAACATTCCGTAGGTTATAGAATAACCTTATAGACTAAACAGTGCTTCATCGGGCTCCCCGGTTAGATGGTGAGAATGTGTGTGGCTGGACTGGCTTGTGTGCTTGCTTTGCCTTAGTGGTGCTCTGTATTTGGGGCCCTAAGTGCGGTTCTAGATTTCAAGACATAAAATTCACTATGCTGACATGAGAAACTTAAAATATTGAAATGTTACTAGCCTACTTTTTTCCAGACTCCACTTCTTTAATAGAGTAAAGCAGAAAGTGAAGCCTGCATCCTTTAATCATTGAGGAGCTCTTCAGCCTAGAATACTGAAGGGAAGAAAAGTCATTTTTATACTTCCTGATACTACTTTTCAAAACTCTTGGGAGGGATCCTTGGATTTAAAGTCCCCTCCCTTAATTCATTTGTGGAGTTAAATTAAATTAAGGTGTAATTGGTGGACAATCTTGGGAGTTGAGATTTCCCTCGGTAGATAGGAACAGCTTTCTAAGAGTTCAGGTTGTCCAAGGAATGAGCCAGTTGCCTTTGGGAATAATGAATTTCCTGTTCTCGAAATGATCCCAGCATGTGTTGGTTCAGCATGTTTTAAAGTTGTTTTCCACAGTGATTGGCAGGTTGACTGAACACCCCCAGCAGGGCAAACTCTGGGGACAGAGTAGGGTTAGGAAGCATTCTTGACACACCCACTATGTTCCATGTTCTTCCCCCTCAGTCAAGGGTGGATATTGGAATTAGAATGTAAGGGATGCGACCAACAATGAATCTACTTATGTTTGTGTAAAAAAGTTATTAGAAAACTGTGATTATTAATTATTAGTATTAAGTTAGAGTTCACTATCCTTTATCCAAAATACTTCGGACCAAAATATTTCAGAGGTGTTTTGGACTTTTTTCTTCCAGATTTTGGAATGCTTGTCCACACAGGAGAGATCTTGGGGATGGGGCCCAAGTCTATGCAAGTTACATGGCCCGAAGGTAATTTTGTATAGTCTTTTCAGTGTGCCTACCTTTTGACTGTGACCTCTCACATGAGGTCAGCTTTGAAATTTTCTGTTGTAGTATCATGTTGGTACCCCAGAGGTGTTCAGATTTTGGATCCGATTTTAGATTTTCAGATTATGGATGACAGGATTAGGTAACTTTTAATTCTCCCCCCCCCAGGATCTTGCCATGTAGCCTCGGCTGGCATCTAACTCACAAGCCTCCTGCCTCTGTCTCCCCAGAGCTGGGATTACTAGTATGAACAACCATATCTGGGTTAATTTTTTAAAAAAATCTTATGATTCTGATTCTATGATAACCAAAATTATGCAAGGAACATTTTCATTTTAGTGATTTGCCTTTCTTCTGAATACTGTTGATATTATGGTTCAGAGAACTAGAGACTTTGATTCTTAGGTCTTAGCTTACTCCACAGTAAGTATGACTTGACACTAGGTACCAAAAACCATTGGGTTAAAAAGAAGAAAAATCAGTTGAAGGGTGTACAGCTACGCTTCATAAAATTGCTCTTAAAAATGCTGTGCATGTAACCTCTCATGCTATGTAACTGTGTGTTTTAATTTCTATCTCACAACTTCACACTCTCGAATTAGAGCAGAACCGTTTTCAGAATCAAAGTCCCATTGAAATGTAAACATCAGATTTCTTGAAAAAAAATATGGACATGGCAGCTGTGCAGAGGTTGGAATTAAATGAGCACCACGGTATGAGGTTCTCTTTCATTGCATCTGTTCCATGAGGGTAAAAAATAATCCCACAGACTCAGAGTTTCCCTCAGCTGGACCCTTGCCAAAGTCGCCAGCCATGCAGAGGTTAGGCAGCTGTGTGCAGTATGTTCCGGTGGACAGCTGCAGGCAAGATGGCCTGAGAGGCGCTGCACACACTAGAACACAGCTTCAGAGAGCTAGGCAGCTCAGTGAAATGCTGGACAGCTGTGAGAGACAGCATCTTCTCAAAAGTTTCCAAGGGAACTCGGGCCATGAGCACTTTTTATATGACTCCGCTGACAGGGACGACTTGGAGGAGGCTGTTATCTTACAGACTAGTGGTCCTTTTTATAGCAAGGACCCTTGAACTGGCAGTCAACATTGGGAAGGAATCCAGGTCCTATGATAGACATAAATCATGTGTGACTAATAGGATTTGTTTAAGTCAGAAATAGTTAACACAATTTTTCAATGTATTTTATTAACTTTTTGTGAATTTTATATACTACATCTTAATCATATTTAGACCCCCTCTCCTATATGCACCCTCCCATGGCCTGCCCATAAGATTTCATGCATTCTGTCATAGATATTAAGGCCTATGGAGTCAAGTTTGTGTCCCCAGATGTCCCTCAGTGTGAGTTCATCCCCTGGAGCCTGATCAGCCTGTCTAGTGTCACTCCCTTAAAGATCAACCCTTCCTCACCCAGCAGTGGTCAGCTGCCAATAGTTCCTTGACTAAGGCTGGGGCCTCCTGCCCATTTCCCCAGTTTTATGCTGGTTTTTGTCTGGTTGAGTCTGCATGGGTCTTGTGCATGCTGACACCATTGCTGTAAGTTCATACGAGCAAGTTCCCAGAAGCCTGGAAGACTGTTTCCCTGTGGTACCACCCCTGGCTCTGACAATCTTCCTCAGTGGTCCATGAGTTCTAAGTAGGTGAGGTTTAATATAGGAGTCCTATCCAGGTTAAGAGAGGGGGAGTTTAAAGAGGTGACAGAATGTGAGAAGAAATTGTAGTAAAGAATGACCCTTCAGAAGGATGGGTATGGCTAAGTGTTTGATCCCCAGCACAGGGGTTAAAAAATCCTTTGTCTTGAAAGATGAAACTGGGATTAAGAAACAATACCTAGACTGAACAGACTTTTGAAAATCAAACCTTTCAGAACAAAACCAAAGAGAGCTATTGATGCATAGGGAGACCGTGGGAAAAGGATTTATAAGGATTTTATAAGGTTTTACTTTTTCAGCTCTACTTAACACAACCCTAAGGGGAATCGAGAGGATGGATGTGTTATTGTTCACATTTGACAGGGAAGAAGATGACTCAGAAGAGAGGTAGGATGCTGCAGGGGTGAGGTCAGGACCACAGGTCAGGTCGGGCCCTGCATCTATTTCCTATGTTACACCATGAGGCAGAGAACTCAGCATCCATGTACCTAGTGTGTCCATGCACATGGATCTGTCTCTGTTGCTAGGCTATCTTGGATAAAGTAAAACTAAAACATGAGTATGAATAGAGCTTTAAAAGCTTTACCTTTTTATGGTCTTAGTAAAGTCAGAGCAACGTGTTATAGCACTTGTTAAAACAGCGATAGTTAACTAGGCTAAGTTGTTTGGTTTGATATATAAAGTCTTCATTTTTCTGCATCCTCTACTGTACTGCATAACAGACTCTTGTTTGTATCAGAGATGGCCTCTGCCTGGCAAAAAGCAGGATGGTCTGAAAACTCAGTCTTGTGTGGAAACAGGAGCACAGGTGATGGGAACATGAAGCACTCTTAACTCTGAGCCTGTGGAAGACGGTTGTGGAGTTCCCCTAAATCGCAGGTCCTTGGTTGTGGGTAGTGCCAGAATTTTCAGACACTTATGCATGTATAAGGATTACTGGGCCATCTGTGTCTCTTCAGACCCTGGTGGGCATACCAAGTATTCCTGACAAGGGTTAATGTGGTGTGTTGACCCATGTCTCAGCAGGTTATAGCTGTCCCCCTGCACAGAGGCTCCAGAAACCAAATTCACCTGTGGAGGAATTTGACATTTCATCAGGGTTTTTGTTTTATTGTTGTTGTTTTGGTTTGTTGAGACAGGGTCTCCCTGTAGCCCCAACAGACCTGGAATGCATTATATAAACCAGGCTGGCCTCCATCTCACAGAGATCCATCAGCCTCTATCTCCCGAGTCGATTGCTGGGGGCGGGTCTTAGAGTTTGTAGACCCACAGGACTTCTGGCCCTATGGATGGCTTCCTAATCACTTCTGTGTAACAAGGAATCCCGGCTTCACACCAAGGCCTTACCTCTCTTGCCTGACACTGTGCACTAAAATAAATCCTTCTGCCCCCAGATTGCTGCTGCTGCGGCTCCTCCCCCCTCCTCCCTCCCCCTTCTTCCCCCCATGTCTCCCTCTGTTGCTTTCTTTTTTATTGAGGCGAGGTCTCTCTCTGAACCCAGAGCTCAGTCATTACAGTTAATGTAACTAGCCACTCTGCCCTGAGGATCCTGTCTCTGTTTCCTTAGTGCTGAGATTAAAAGCTCCTTCTCCTCCCACCCAGCTTTACTTGTGTGCGGGGGACCAAACTCACCATTTATTTTATCCCAGCAACAAGAAAAGTGACTAGCTGGGCATGGTAGCCCATGCCGCTAATCTCAGCACTTGGGAGGCAGAGGCAGGCAGATCTCTGTGACTTCCAGGCCAGCTTGATCTACATAGCAAGTTCCAGGCCAGCTGGGGCTGCAGAGAGACCCTGCCTCAAACAAACAAACAAAACAAAACAACAAATAAAGAAAAAGGAGAAGTAATTAATAGAGGATATACATTAGCTCTGGGCTCAGTCCTGACATCCTCTGATTCCATGTACATCCCCACACACATATGTACATGCACACATACCCCCCCACACATATGCATACAAATCTTAGAAATAAAGGGAGTTAAACATTACAGGAGCTTTAACCAGTGTCCCAGTGCTGTGAAATCTGTGACGACATAGTGGTCGCTGCTCATTTAGCAGACGCAGAGCAGCCGATGAGTGTTTCCTGTTTGTACATTCCTTTAAGAGCCCTTTGTGGCCTCTCACGCTGACTCTTCATTGCAGTTACTTAGCACTCTTTTAATAAACCTGGGAATTGCTACCATGATTTAGATGCCAACGAAAGGACTGCTTTAGCACCTTGGTGACTGAGATGCTAAGTTGTATTTTAGTTTTATTTTAAGGACATTTCTTGATGCTTTGGGAGTCTGCTGTTGCTTGCCATTAGCTAAATTATGGCAAAATAATGTGTAGGAAACTGACAGAGAACAAGGTTTTTAAAAATCCTTTTATTAATGGAGAACTTAGAGCATTTCAACAGCAGAGTCATATACTCATCTCCCCCCGTCCCCCAGTGCACCTGTCACTGAGCTTTTCAGGCCCACTCTGCGGTCACGCTGCAGGGTCCCATCTGGTAGCTGCTTGCTGCTGTGGGGCCGCTTGTGTGCTTGTGTGGCAGCTGGTCTGAACTGAGGTGCCTCTGCCAAGTGTCACAACTACCTGAGGAGCTGTTCAGCAGCTTGCTGTCCTCCTTGGGGCTCCTTCAAGCACCCTTCCCTGGCCTTCGTGCATAAACACCTTACCCTTCAAACCTATACCTGCAGTGTTCCCTTGTTTCTTTCTTTGTAACACATTCACAACTTGTAATGATTTGTTGTGCCTGTTAAGTTTGATGTTTCCGTCAAATACCCTGTGTCCGCCCTGTGTCCACAGTGAGTAGGGCCAGGCATGAGTCACTGGCTTGCACACATGCACCACAGCAGGAATGAACTCCCAATCCAGACAAACCCACGACTTCCTTCTCCCAAAACATGTGTTGCAATCTCATTTGCTATCTTTCTGTTTGTGGTGCTGAGAATCAAGCCCATTTTCTTGTGCATATCAGGCAAGTGCATTACCCCTGAGCTTCTGAACCCCCATTTACTATCTTAATGTAATACTCAGTTTTTAAAAATTAATATAGTACCCTAACTAGAAAAGAAAAGAAAAAAGAAAGTAATTTGCAATAAAACAGTGTGCCCTCATGTTTTCTGTTTTTAGGTCTGGCAGTGTAGATTTTATCAGACTAACCTGCAAACAGATACAACAGATATCAGCTCTAACCAATGGTTGATGTGTTTAACATGCACATGCATGTGCGCTTATGCATGTACACACGCACACATGCACGGACACCCGTACCCTTGCAGGTACACACACACACACACACACACACACATATACCAGTGAGGAATGTTG